TCACAAGGGCATCTTTATTTCCCAATGGAAATATGTACTAGATCTACTAGAAGATACAGGCAAGTTGGGGGTAAAGCCATTTGACTCACCAATTGAATCTAATCATTAGCTGGGAGACAGTCCAGGAGAGTTTTTGAAAGATGTGAAGAAGTTCCAGAAACTCGTAGGGAGACTCTTGTATTTGTCTATGACCAGGCCTAATATTGTTTATGCAGTGGGTGTCCTTAGTCAGTTCATGGACAATCCTAGGACAACTCACTTTGAAGCTGCAGAGAGGATCCTTAGATACCTCAAGAAGTTTCCCGGAGCTGGTTTGTTGTTCCATAAACATGGTCACTTAAAGGTGGAAGTATATACTGATGCTGATTGGGTAGGAACAGTCGATGACTGAAAGTCTACCAGTGGGTATTGTGCCTTTGTAGGAGGAAACCTGGTCACATGGAGAACTCTTAGGTTCGAAATACAGTTCTTTCAACCATGAACTGTTATTCTTTTTGCTGTTCCTAATTGAAAAGACTTAAACGATACTTTAGATCTAGAAAGGCTTCAACATCAATCATTTTTCTACTTGTGGTGTAAGCAGGAACAATAGAGGACATGTAACACTGATTGACTGACTAAATTTACCAACTTTTATGTTTTGATTTAGCCATTTAAATTGTTATTTATGCTATTTCAAGAAATTGATATCTGACTCATCTTACGAATAAAAACTATAGCAGAGCTCTTTGTTTTACTATTTACATCTGGCCTTCGAACTGCCAGTTTAAAAACTTTATTTTCATACCCATACTTGGTTATCATTGCAGTTGCGGTGGCAGATGCCTCACTGTTGAATATACAAACAAGGTAGGAGAGGTTGCTAAAAAGCATGGGTTGAAGCTCCACATAGATGGAGCACGCATTTTTAATGCATCGACTGTAAGTGCAATTTCTTTATTTGAATTATAGCTTAGTAACTTATAACCTTGTTTAGCTTCTGTCTCTGTGACAGTTTCTTTTTATGCATTTTATGTAAATGTTGACATTGTTGTTGCCTTTGGGCTCATGCATTATGCATATTCAAGGAAGTTGTATATATTCCATCAAAAACATTTTTTGTCACGTGATGTGAGGTCAACTGGCACTAAATTTCCACATATCTTATTCCCCTTAAGTATTGCAATTAAATATTATATTTATTATGAGATGATGCCCTATTTGAGGATTAAGCTTTGGAAACTCTTCTGGTTGGAACTATCTTTGAAACTTACGCTCCAGTTCCACCTCCACTTCTCTATAGGCCTGCATGTTCTAAATTCAATATGCTTCATTTTGTTCCTTGTTGCCTTGATGGAATGTTGAAGGCATCTTATGCAAGTTGAAACTTTGCAATCTATCTCCTTGTCAAATCTCTAGAACTGATGACATGGTGGACCACTCTGCACTCTCTAGCTTTTTATTGGATGACATCTTGGGTCAAGCCTTGGAGAGGGTTCTTTGTGTTTCCTCTTAGCTTCTTCTTTGCGTCAGAAGAAATCATTTTAGACCTTATCAATTGAATGGCTCTTTTTTCCTCTAAATCCTTTTTGGCTTCATCAATTGAATGGCTCTTTTTTCCTCTAAATCCTTTTTTTGAAATCATTTTAGACCTTATCCTGGTTAGTTCCCTACCCCCGCCCACCACGCACATACAATCGTTTTAGAGATCTCTCTCCTCGCAAAATTATGGTCTAACCTAGGCAGATTGCCTCAGAAATCAAGTATTTATGACACTCTTAAAGTCCGTCTCAAACCAAAAGCTTGTCCTTTATTTGTGGCATTGTTGGAGAAATATTCAATGTTATGCTTATTTATTGCCAGTTGGCACTGGAAGCCAGGAATTACTTTTTAACATTGCTCATTTTCTTTGAGTTTGTCTATTACCATTTTTTTTCTCTTTGAGTTTGTCTAATACCAATTTTTTCCCTTTGAGTTTGTACTTCGGAAATAGGCAAATTGATGGTATAGAGAGAGGACCACCGCTTGGAAAAATGGGGCAGTATCTGGATACAACTTTCTTTCCATGTTGTGAAGAAGGATAAATTGGTTTTAAGAAAAAGATTCTTGTGTCTTTAAGATAACATGATAATTGAGTCAACACTATCATCTTAAAAACTTTCTGTTCTATCTCTGGTATTCTTGGAATTGGAGTTTTTTTGCTTGAAAATCTGGATCGTTCAGATCTAGGTTGGTTTTCTTAGAAGAATCATCTAAGTATTCTCTTATCCTTTAGGGGGGTTTTACTCTTCATATTTCAGTATTTAGCTCTTCTTCAAGGCCTTGAGAAGACTGAGGACTTGGATGTATGGATATTGTTATTGAATGTGATTTAATTGGGCTTCCAGTTTGGAGGAATAGCTATGGACACTTTCTTCCATGAATCATATCCATAAATTGTCTGCTACAATGAACATTCGTTCTCCCTACTCCTAGGGAAGCAAGCAGATTAGCAGAACTCTTACCAGAAGATAGGTGGCTAGATCTTTCTTGTTTTCTTTTTCTTTTTTAGTGCCTTCTAAGAATGTTGAACAACTGGGTTAATTATCTTAATTGCATTTTTGGAACTCTTGGTCATAATGCTTGGGTTTCAGATAGAAAGTGCAGCTTGAAAATGACGGTGTGACATTGCACTTGTATTTAGAGTATGAATACAACAACCAAAAGCGTTACCAATGAAAAAAAATACAAGAAGCAAAAAGCATATGGGTTGTAGTAGGGATAAATGATTTGAGTGCCCATAATTTAACAATGAAAATGGCATTGGAGAGTGGAATGGTGGAACAGGATTCATAGAACTGACTTCATATAGCTGGGGTAAGGTTTAGAGTTGAGTAGAACAGCTTTCATATTGTTATAGGCTGTGCTTATTCTTCTCATTTTCGAGGCCTATGCTTTTCCATATTGTTTCTTTCTCTTGCTTTTCCCCCATTACCCCATGACAAACAACAAATGTTTTGGAATTTGAAAAAGGTGAGAAAAAGACATGGATTGCATACATGCCATGATACTTATATCCAATGCTTTGTCATTGATATTTTTAGGATGTTTAGAAAATTAATAAAATAATGTAAAATAGGCATAGTATATTGCTCTCAGTTGAAGAAAATAAATTCTGTTGCTTTTTATTTGAAGAATAATGTTGCATGTACTACTGTCTGATTTTCACATTATATGGCTACTTCAGTAATTTCTAACTTAAACAAATTGGCTTCCCAGGCACTTGGAGTTCCTGTTAGTAAGCTCGTACAAGCTGCTGATTCAGTTTCAGTATGACTTTCTTTAATTGCTCTTTTTGCAAGTTGACTCTTTTCTCTTCTTTTTTCTTTCTTCTTTCCTCTTTCCGTATTTTGTGATATCTTACTTAAGTTTACCTGATTGACATGCAATGTATACAACCCCTCTTGTGTAAACTCATAAAAATTCTATCATTGAAATATGCAGTTTTGTTCAATGGTTAATTTCTCCCCACTATGTTATAATGTGACCTGATTCCTTTTTCAAATTTATATCTTCATTGAATGTGCAAACCAGGTTTGTCTGTCTAAAGGTTTGGGAGCTCCAATTGGATCTGTCATTGTAGGATCAAAAAGCTTCATTGCCAAGGTATTGGTGATAATTTGCGGTAACTACCAGTAGGGGTGCAATTCAGGTTGGCCTGGATTAGCATTTTACTCTGCTTTGGGTTGGGCCCATTCAAAATTTGACAAAAAACCAACCTGAGCTTGCCCAAATTTCACCGCTAACTACCAGTGTTTTTTCTGCAATGAAATATTACTTGGTATTTGTCTCTGTTTTAGGCTAAGAGGCTCAGGAAGACCCTGGGTGGTGGGATGAGGCAGGTCGGTATTCTTTGTGCTGCTGCTTATGTTGCATTGCATGAAAATGTGGGTAAGCTTGAGGATGATCACAAGAAAACAAAAATTTTAGCAGGTCATTTCTATGTCCTTTAGGTTGCTTTTTGCTAGTTCTCACCCTAAATTTGTTATTCTTACTGAGAACGGTTCTCAATTTTGTATGAGGAAGTTCAAAACCTTTGTAGCAGGAATGATTTATGATTTGGATGTTTTTTGGCATTTTCATACTCATTTAAAGAGAATCTAATGCCTTCATCCGGGGAATCTTAATTTATCATATGCATATATACTCGTTCGTTTCCTATATCAATTTGTCTAATTCTCTGTGTTATCTTATCTTCCCATACCATGAAATTATTTAAATATTAAGTTCTGTGAAAAATACATTTGATACAAAGAGGTTTCCTAAATCTAATTGAGTCAAGTAGGAATCTCTTTAGATGACCCCACTCACATTTTGCCATGGGGGAAAGATCCTGTAACCCATAAACTAAGACAACAATGTCAGAAGATCTGATTCAAGTATTTGTTTCAAGAGGGAAATGTGGTGGCTGATATTATTAATATTTTTTGGCCACACCATTAGTTGTCAGTTATGGACTGATATCCTCCACTTCATATGGTGGATCATTTTGGATGAACGTGGGGAAGGGTTACTCTGCATGTTGTGTTGCCCGTGCATTTTCTGTATGCACTAAAAGAAAGGGGAACAGGGTTTCCCTAGATAGTTAAGTGAAAACCTTTGTCTTGAAGATGATTTAATGTCAATATGCTATCCAAAACCACTAGCCAAGCATAACTTCCACCCTTGGGGGAACAGGGTTTCCCTAGATACCTTTCGGTCCTGAAGTTTCTCCACTTGACCTTGACAAGGACTTGTAGAAGGATTTGACTGAGAATAGACCATTTCTAGATTCTTTCCACCATCTTGAATCTTTCTTTCCACCTGAGGCTCAGCAGATTGTGACTTTGCCAGTAGATATACACACTCTTGAATTTCCCAATCCAAGAGAGACCTCCTAAATTTTGACACCAAACTGCTCTACCTTGATTAATCTCAACTCTACAATTTTTGAATGATTTTTTTTAATACAAATAATATTTAATAATTTATAACCCAAATAAGTGGGTTGGCTAGTTTGCTAGCCAGATCATCAGAACTATAAAAAAAGTGTCCTGTATGGGAGTTCCCTCTCTTTAAGTGGGAGGGACGGGTGTAGGGGGAGGGGGTAGTTGCATAACTACCCCACTCTCTATTTAAGCTCTTTAAGGGGAAGCTAGAAGACTCTCTTTGGGGAAAATTGTCTCAAGAGATTCTTAAGAAAAGACAAGATAAAGAGAGAAAATTGTCCCAAGAGAGACCTTCCTATATATGTCTTCTGCTATGTATCCTTCTTTCTCTTTCTTTTATTTTCACTTTTGAAAAAGGAAATAAAGGGAAATAAACCATCTACGACCAGGTGCCTCTACTTGGTTGATTATGGTCCCTCTTTTAAGATAAACTTAGGGATTAAACCATCTACAGTCTAATTCTCAAGGGCTGATTATGGTTCCCTTCAAATGAAAATGAAGAACAAGAGGATAAAAACCATCTACAATCAAATATTCAATTTGATTGACTACGGTTCCCTTCTTGTACTAAAAAATCCAAAGGATTAAGGCTGTCTACAGTCAGCATTTCATTTGATTGACTACAGTTTATTGTGAAGAAAGGAGTGGGAAGGAAATCTTCTTTGTATCAAAAAGAAAAGAGAGAAATGTATTGTTGTAGAGTTTCTCAATTGTATTTTCTTTTTTTCTTCTCATTCTTGTACACTTGATGTAAAAGAAATGTAAATGAAAGGTTCTTTATAAGTACTCTATTGTTCTTTTCTTTTGTTCTATGCATTCATTTCTCTAAGTCAGAATGAAAAGGTGCTCTCTACTTTCTTGTGGAGACATAATTAAGGGGAACAATCCGTATGATTCCCTGAATGGGCCTTACCCAAAATAATAAAAACTCAATCACTTGATTGATTGAATTATGTTGCATGGGAATTTATTAAAATTTTCACACCAATAACAATGGAGCTATTCTTCATGCCCAACCTATGCATGCGAGGGCAAAGATCACACAGTTTTCCAATACCCAGCCAATCGTCCTCCCAAAATTTAATTGTTGAACCATCCCTAACTCTGAAGGAAACGAGATTATGAAAGAAGAATATTGAACTTTATTGTCTCATGAGAAAAAATGCTAGTTGAGCTATATATTTTGAGCTTAATCTGTAAAAACTACTTATGATCTACAATGTTCAATATTTTACTATGGTGCATTTTGTTGATTTTGACTTTCTGCAGATGGGATTAATCAGATCAAGGAACTAAGTATAGATATGTCTTCAATAGAGACAAATATTGTGAGTATCACTAGTTACTTGAGTATAAAATATAGTGTGGCATTGGTCTTTTGAATAGTACTAGACAGTTGAATCTAGGAAACTAGATTATATATTAGGTTAATAGCTGCCTCAACTGATTTGTTGTGTTTTTAGTTCATTTCATAGTCACAAAGACATAACCAAGATGCAATTCTGCTTTACTTAGAACCCTCAATTTGTACTTTGATAAAATCATCAATTTGTACTTTGAGATTCAGGTCTCATGCCCCCCTTATGATCATTAATAAAGCCGTTTTGTTTTTCTTCAAAAGAAAATTGGTATTTTGGATATCAAATCTGTAGCTATTCCATTAAATCTATCAGGCTTAGAAAGCTTTATCTTTCTCATTCTAGATCTTAGGATTTTCTTAGTATTGCATCTGTTTACCACCTTATAATGGGTTTATTAGTGTTATGCTATGAGAGTCGCTAGTAGAGCAAGTTTAAAACCTTATTTGGGTTATTACTTGAGTATGCTGTAGACTGTTAATTCCATGTATTTCTTATATTATTTGATTGCATCTGTTAATTACTTCATATAATGATTATGAAGTAAATATTTGCCTTTATTTATTGTATAAACAGATATTTTTTGATATATTGGAGGGCTCAAACGTCACAGTAGAGAAGCTTGTCCAGTTCCTGGAAAAACATGGTATACTTGTGATGCCAGCAAGCTCGTCCAGGTGTGTTTTCAATTGTGAACAGCCCTGGTTGTCATTGCCATGCTTAGTAATTGGTTGATGCAATTTGTAATGTCTTTAAATTGTGCAAAGCTTGAAAATTTAGGTGCTCCAGTTTGCATGGGCTACTTACCAAATGTAAGGAATAACCATTTGAAATAAGGTTGCCTTGTATTTGGCAGAAATGGAAATACAAGTTGGAGGATGATTTGTGAAATTGCTATTTTTTGGGATTTTCTGTTCAGATCCAAAATTTAGCTATGTGGAATCTGGACGGCAGCAGACCCTTCTCCATGTTTTCTGCCATTTTAGGTGTTTTCAAATTCTTTTTGTTGGGGGTCACCTAGAAACTACCAGTTTTCACTCCCATTTTTCATTCCTACTCCCCCCCCCCCCCCCCCCCCCCCGATGCGATAGATCCTTTTGTTTTAATAAATAACAGAAATATATTCATTAAAGAAAATTAGGAAAGTACAAAAACGGAGAGGTAAACTCTCTTAACTCTTCCCAAACATAATACAAAAGAAAGGTAAATTACAACATAACCCAAAAAATATGATTCCTTCCCACTCCCTGTTTAGTCAACGCATCAGCAAAGCAATTTGCTTCTCTTTTAACCCAATTCAGATTCTTCTATTCCTTATGTGAGATAATACCTAAACTTCCTTTTTTCATTGATGTATCCCGCCACCCCATCTCCTCCTCCTTTTGAAGCCAGCTGATAACCAACTTTGAATCCCCTTTAGTTATCAGTTTAGATAAACTCAATTCCTTTGGCTTTCTGAACTCCTTCCATGACAATGAATCCTGATGCAGTACACCCCTTAGATATTGAAAATATTGCCGAAAGCTTTATTGAGAAAAGGGAGCATCCAAATTTTCATAAACTATATGAAAAGAGAAAGATGACTGAGGAAGGAAAAGTAGCTCATTAGTAGCCCAATAATCAAGCCAATGTAGCATTAGTTCATTCCAGTTTCTATTAGGTTGTTTAATATATTAGTTTTAGTTTTCTTTTTTATTTAAGAATTCATGTTAAAAGTTTGAGTTTTACTTTTTCTAAAGAAGTCAGTTTCCTATTGCACGTAACTTTCCTTTTTCTTTTTGGAGTCATATTGTAATTAACTCTTCCCTATTATAAAAGGGAGGGCTGGTAAAGCTTTTCAGAGTAGGATTGATATTTGAAATTAATTAATTTTTGGATTACTGTTTATGCTACAGAAATCTGTTAATAGAGTTAGGTAATCCTAGACTCTATCCCTTCATTACTCTTTTATCGAATGTAAGAGAGGATCCTGACACTCTAATTTTGTGGGTTAGACATTGTTTTACAAATTAGAAGCTGAATCTTACCTTTAATTTCTGGCCTAAGAAACTTGTTCCAGGAATTATTGGTGAGTTAATTAAAATACAGCATATCATTTGGTGTTGCACTACCTCAATCGATATCACATATCAGAGATTTGTTCTTCTTGGGAGCATTGATCTGTGGACTGTGCTGAAATCAAAATATGGAGTCAGATTAGAATTCAATTTCAAGGGAAGAATTTCAGAAATCTCAAGAAGAACTGATGTCACAGCTGACCTAAAAATTCGATATGCTCATACAGAAGTTTGCAAGAATTGTTCTTAATCTCCAAATAGCTGGACAATCACAACATGCAGGAGATGTTGTAAGTTTGGTCATATCCTACACCACCAGACCCAAGTCAGAGCACTCCTAGAAGAGGGACTTGGCCAGGAAGACTGTTTTGTGATCAGAACCTTACCAGCTTAATGATGACTTCAATGGACAGAATAGTCACGGCCAAAATAATCAACTCCAGAATACTCATTGGGTGACAGGGTTTAAACTCGATATTCCTGAGTTCAATGGAGTTCAAGAGACAGATGATGACCTGGATTGGACACTTGTTGTTGACAATCTCTTCAAGCTGTTCTTTATGTTAAGTTATTATTGTTTGGGTCATTTGTCATTTTCTTCATTGAGTCTATTATTTCCAACATTATTTAAAGGATTAAGTCTGTCGAGTCTACATTGTGAGTTGTTACGATCCATTTCTCCCGCATTAGTAGTATAAGATGCTAACGTGAGACTCAACTGGGATAGGGAGAGGAAGACTCCCGGAGATAAACCCCCACTGTTCGGCCTGATTTGGAGCTCAAATCAGAGATTGATAAGACTGTAAGTTGCATTCAGTTATCCCTGAGTTATATTTCTGGTTTTGGGGACTGTTGAAGTGTTCGAGACCCTTTTAAATTTATTCAGCTGTTCGGCTGTGGTTAACCTGATTTAACTCGGAGATTTCTGGGTTGTTTTTCTCACCCTATTGGACTGTCAAGTTGCTGCAACCTCTTTGGACTCAGTGGTGCAAGTTCTTCAGTTTAGTTGCTTCTTGGACCTATACAGACTGCTCCTGAGGTGGTTTTTACTTGGTGACAGTGGGGTATTCTTTGCTGCATACACAGTGCTCGTAAAAAGGTCTATTTAATTACTGCGGATTGTGTTTTGCTCTCTTTAGGGCACTTATTGTTGGGAACCTAGAATCCCTAACTAGAAAGGTACTCCAATCGGGTACATAGTGTTTGGAGGTCTGCTGGTTACCTCTTGAAGGCTGAATCAAGTCATCTTCTTCTTGAAAGAGTTGTTACCGAGCTTGGTTCTCACGGCTGTCGGGTGTGAGTTGGCCTTGTGAGTTGCTGTGTTTGAGGCCGATTTAACCCAATCTGAAGCATTTACATGATGGATTCCTCAGATATTGAGAGTAAGAATGTTGCTGAATATGGACATGCTTTGGGAACCCCAGCTGATTTTTTGTTGACTGTGACCACAATTAAACTGGATGGAACCAACTATCTGGCATGGTCACAATCTGTGAAAATTTATATATGTAGTAGAGGAAAGTGGGGTTTATCTCCGAGAGCAAGAAGGCTCCCCCAGAGGATGATCCCTCTTATGAGAAATGGATTCAAGAGAATTACACCGTTATTGGGTGGCTTGTGAATTCAATGCAGCCACAGATTAGTCAACATTATCTATGGATGAACTCAACAAAGGAAATCTGGGACAGTGTTGCAGAAACCTATTCCT